GGGAGGGAGAGGAGGAGAAGGAGAGAAAGGAGGAGGGGAGGGAGAGGAGGAGGAAGAGGGAGAGGAGGAGGGGAGGGAGAGGAGGAGGGGAGGGAGAGGAGGAGAAGGAGAGAAAGGAGGAGGGGAGGGAAAGGTGGAGGGGGGCCTCACCCCTGGGATAAGCTGGAGCACCTTCCTCCTGTGCCTGGGGAAGGGCCCTGTGTGAGCAGTGTGGAGACTTCTGGAATCTGGAGCAGGGCCACTTCAGGTGGAGTGCCCTCCCAGTGTGTCACAACACCCTGGGCTTTGGCAGCTCCTGAATCCCTTCCCACACAGAGGGAGGACTGTGCATCTTCAAGTCCCAGATAATGTGTCCACTGCCCAACATCCCGGCCACCCTGAGCCAAGGCAGGCAGCGCTCCCACCCGGAGGGACAGCCCGAGGACAGCTGGGGGGCAAGGTGACAGCAGGAGTCCAGCCCCAGAGCTGGGATCTTCTCCCTGCAGCTCAGAGCAGGGACAGGTATCTGGGGATGGGGCTGCACAGGCTGGGGTCTTTCTGTGCTCCCCACCACCCCAGGCAGATGCGGGGGTCCTTGGAGGTTCCTCCTCGGGAACCCTTTCTGCCCTCTGCACCCCCACAACGCAGCGGGCACCCTCCTCCTCTTGCCTCGCCCCACCTGGGCAGTCCTCCTTGAGGGTCATGGGCCAGCCTCTCCCAGGTGGGCAGTTGTCCAGGAAAGGTGGTGGCTGGCCGGCCCCAGTCCTCCAGCTGCAGGTAGAGGCAGAGTCCAGAGCTGACCCCCAGCCCCCAGAGTCAGAACCTCTGGGCTGGGGCCTGAGCAGCTGTGTCCAGCAGCCACGTTGAGGCAGGAAGTAGGAGCCAGGCAGAGGAGTCTTGGGAGGGCGCCTCACAGGCATGGGACCCCCCCTGTCCCCCCAGGTCCTGTGTTGAGGGCTTGGTCCCCTGGGGCACTGCTCAGAGGTCCTGGGACCTTTAGGAGGGGGGCCCAGTGGGAGGTCTGTCACTGGGATGTGCCCTTGAAGGGACTGTGGGACCCCAGTCTCTTCCTCTTTCTGTTTTGACTTCTGGCTGTGAGGTGGGTAGCTTGGTCTGCTCCTGTTCTGGCTGGGATGCGCCACACTGGCCCAAAAGCCATGGGGCAGCCGAGCGGACTGGAATGAACCTCCCTCTGTAAGCCCACTGCCTCAGGAGGAGTCGTTTAGCTCAGCTGGGGTTTGGTTTTGGTACCAGGGATTGAACCCGGGACACTTCACCACCGACCCACATCCCTGGCCTTTTTTTTGAGACAGGGTCCCACTAACTTGCTCAAGTCCTTGCCAAGTTGTGGAGGCTGACCTTGAATGCACAATCCTCCTGCCTCAGCCTCCTGAGTGTCTGGGGTTACAGGCTACTGTTAAATACCCATACTGAGGTTTTGTAGGAGAATACCCTGGTTGTGGGAATCCTGGATTCCTTTGGGATGAGGGAATCATGTTTGCTCTTAAACAGTTCAGAAAAAAAAAGTGTGTAAGTAGGTAGATGATGGATGGATGGATGGATGGAGAGATAAAGCAAATATAGAGAATGTCAGCGTTGGAAGGGTAAATGGGAATCGTTTCTGCTATTTCTTGCAACTTGAAATTGTCCAAGGAAGACGAGGAGGTGGGGAATCAATGTGGAGTCCTCTCCCCCGAGCCGGCCTTGCTGCTGGCGGCCAGTTGAGCCTCCTCAGACAGAAGTCCATGGACTCAGCCAGCTGGGCTCAGAGGTCCCCATGCGGACCCGACCCGGAGGCAGCGTGCCTGCACATCTCCAGAGGAAGCCCCTGGCAGCCACAGGGCTGGGGACACCTGACTCCCCCTGAGGTCCAAAGCCACTCCTGGGTGGGCACTCTCCTGCTGCTCGTCTGGCCCATCTAAGTCCGGACTTCTGTGCACTCTGCGGGCCTGGGCAGGACCCAACCCCTGCTGACGGATCCACGGTGGAGGGTGGGCTGCCAGGCCCCGTCCCCAGCCCTCTAGGCCACCCCTCCCAGCAGGACCTCCTCCCCTTTTGAATCAGTGTGCAAAGCCCACCTGGTCCCTCCCCATGTCCACCCACAAGCAGGAGGACTGAGATGACAGCGTGACACACTGGGAGCCCAGGGCCGCAGTGACTGGGACTGGACCCAGCAGGAGCTCAGGGGGTCTCCATTCCGCTCTCCCACTGTGCCATTCACCCACTGACCCCTCAGATGGCCTTTGAGTCTCTACCGGGAGCCACGCTCTGGGGACCCTCGGTAGGAGAGAGGAGGGCCCTGCACTAGCTGGTGTCCACCTCTCCCTGCCCCCTCTGCTGGGACGGTGGAGGGAGGGTCCTGGAGGTCCTGAGGCTGCCCCTCAGATTTCCAAGAGGGAAAATAGGCCCAGGTTAAGCAGTGGCCCATGACACTCAGGATTGGAGCCCGTCTCCTGGGTGCAGCCAGCCTGGCTGCCCTGTCACTGTTCCTCAGGAGATGCAGCCACTGTCCCCTGTGGCCTGGCCAGTTCCTCCCTGTCTCTGGGAGCAAGGGACACCCTGTGGAGCAGGGTATGAGAACAAGGAGGGGCTGCGCAGGCTGGCCACCCAGAGTCTCAGGGCAGCCTCTGGAGGAGTGGGCGGCTTCTGGGTCCTTCCCCTCTGGTTTTGCCATCATGACAGGCCCCAAACAGGAGCGGGGCCCTGGTCAGGAGCATGACTTGCTGGGTCAGCTCTTGTCTTAACACGCCCGAGCCGACACCAGAGCTGGGGCCTGTGTGCAGGGTAGGGGAAGGCATGGACGGGGGGGGGGTCGGGTGGGGTGGACGGCGGGGGTGAGGTGGACTGGACAGCGGTGGCCCCAAAGCTGCACTCACCACCTCGGACTGGCGCCTTGGCCTCCTCAGGCACCGCCTGCTCCCGGCCACAGGGTGAGTGCATGGCCCCACTCTGGACCTCGTGCCCGCTGCTGTGGCCTCCAGAGGGCCTTGCAGGCCCCCAGCCCATCTCCGCTGGCTCCCCAGTGGTCTCCTCCTTGGGGCTCTTCATGACCTGCCCCGGCCCCAGTGCTGAGGGCTCGGCATGCCCAGGTGGCCTGTGGGGAGAGCAGTGGGCGTCAGCAGAGGCCCCTCCAGGGTGGGGCTGCCAGACCATCAGGGGCCTCTCTGCCAGGGGTGAGGGACGGGGAGAGAAGCCAACGGGGCAGAGTGTCCGGCACCTCCAAGGCCTAGCCATGGCCCTGCTTGCAGCCTGTGTCCCCAGCGCTGGGGCCAGGGTCTGGCCTGTGATGGCCAAACCAGACCTGGTTGTGACGTGAAAGCACAGAACCACTGTGGTAAGAAGCCTGGGCCTGGGGAGGGGTCAGTCCCCCCAGCCTTTCTCCAGGAAGCCCGAGGGACCACGTCCCCACCTTTGGGGGCTGGATGATGCCCTGGGCTCTGACGGCGCCCCCTGGACGTGGGCGATGCCTGTGAGCAGAGCGGGTCCTCCCACCCGTCTCTGTGAGCACCTTCAGGTTAGAGGCCCTGCACGGGCTTCAGCCTCTAGACTAGGAATGTTTTAAAAGAGGAGAAAAGCCCCAGTGATAGGACGGGCCTGAGACGAGGGCCTGTGAGTGTCCAGGAAACTGCGGATCAGGGCTCGGAATCTGGGGCTGGCTCTCCTCTGGCCGCCCCTCACAGCAGAGTTCCCAGCTCTACTCTCCGAGGCGGCTTGCTGCTTCCCGCCACAGCCTGCTTCCCGCCACAGCCCACCTCCTCCGGGAAGGGGACTTGGCCTGGCCTGTGCCTGGGGTCCACCTCAGCTGCATGGGGAATCTGGCCCTGGGTCCCGATGCTCCTAATGATGTCCCCTCCCTACTGGAGCTGGACCACGTGGGCTCAGTCTCTCCCCCAACAGAGGCCTGTGCAATCAGCTGGACGGTCCCTGGGTCCCTCCCATCTTGAGGCTTCCAGTGGCCGGGAGCCAGGACCCAGGGGCCCCTGGGAGGGGAAGGAAGCGGGGGGGAGGAGGAGCGGGAGGTAGGTGAGGCAGAGCCCTGGCCAGGCGCTGCTCGCTGGCCTCACACTTTCCTGGGCTCAGGTCCGTGGTTCTGTCACTCATCTGAGGACACATTGTCCCCTTTCATGAATCAAACACAAGCACAAGAGACATGGCTCAGCTCTCCACTCAGGCAAGGCTGCTGAGCATGGGGCAGACCCCCAACGACGCGGTGCTTGCTCACAGGGAAGGCGGGAGCCACCTGGGTGGCACGCCCAGCCTGAAGGCTGCAATTTCAAGCCTGACCATCTGCTGGTTGTGAGCAGGGAACCTTCCATCCTGCGGGTGCAGAACTCCCCAGGACTCCTCTGCCCAGAGCACTCAGGGGGACAAGGCAACAACCCCTGACCCCTCTCCATCCACCAAGGTGCAAGCAAGTCTGGTCTCCCCGGACCTGCCCCCTTTCTTGGCAGACGTTGGAGGCAGACCTGGGTCATACCGTGGCCAGCTGCCTGGGCTGGGCCCAGGTGTGCCCAGCCAGGGCCAGCTAGCTGTGCTCCCGAGTCTCTGGCCTCCACCCTCATCCGGGGCAAGAAATCAGCAGAGGACAGACAGGGAATCAGACAGGGCAGCTGCAGAGGCACCTGGGTCTGGGCTCTAGGATGCAGGACGTAGGCTAACAGATGAGGCAGTGTACCCCCAAGGGCAGAGGGGCCACCAAAGCCTCTAACCAGGAGAAGGGGCCATTCCTCAATGTCTGAAAGTTTGTTTTAATATCTGTGCAGAACAGACTAGAGAAGCTGGGTGCAGTGGCCACACCTGTAATCCCAGTGACTCGAGAGGCTGAGGCAGGAGGATCTCAAGTGCAAGATCTGCCTGGGCACTTTAGTGAGACCCTGACTCAAAATAATTAAAAAGGGTTGGGGGCGTGGCCCAGTGGTGGAGCACCCAGGGGTTCAGTTCCTAATACTGCAAAACAGAATGTACTGAAGAGTCCCCGAGGGAGGTGGGCGGTGGGGTGCGGGGCTTGTCACCAAAACAAAGGCAGCTGAGCTCCCAGTAGTCACAGCACAGGTGTCATCTCACACCAGGTTCTTGCAGACCCTGTCCCTGTCTTTTGGTCCTGGATGGTTCCAGGTGGGAATTCTACAACGGGAACTGAGGGTCACCTTGACCCGGAGGTGGAGGGAAGGGAAGTGGACTGCAGGGAGGGCTCCCTGGAGGAGGTGCTCATGGTGAAGGGCCTCGTCCAGTTCCCTGCCCAACTGACTGCCCTCTGCCTGCCTTTTCCCTGTGAAACCCGATGGTCAGTTTACGGCCAAATCCTTCCCAGCCCCAACCACCTCTGAGGGGCAGGGACGGGGACCATGCTGGGTAGATGGGAAGGAGGCAGCAAGTCAGAGGGCCTCCAATGAGGGTCCCTGGTGCCTGAAGAGACCCTTTCCCCTCCCAAGGGAGCTGCTCAACCCAGGAGGTCAGCGCAGGCCTGAGAACACCCACTCCCTAGCAAAGAGGCAAGTGGACCTGGACCCCAGGAGCACAGAGTGCCAAGGAGGTGGCAGAACTGTCAACAGTGCGGGGTCCACCAGGTTGAGCCTCGGCCTGGAAGGTTGCCCCACCTGGGGATGCCCGAGGGGCTCCTTAGCACATTCAGGATGCAGCTGGGCACCCTGGCCACCTCCCCCAGTGCTGAGTCCAGCCCAGCCTCAGAGTCTGCTCCCGTCCCCTGTCCCCCTTGCCCAGCTGCCACACTGGCTCCTGCCAGGGTGATGCCCACTGGCTGGCCCAGGTCTGCCAGGCGCAGGAAGCCCACCGTGGAGGGCTGGCTGTCTTGCTGCCCCCTGGTGGAGGCACGCAGAGGCACGTCCATAGAGCTCGACTCCAGCCCTTTGATGGGGGGTGGGCTGTAGCTTCTACCCCAGCCCCCGCCAGGGTCCTGGCCTCTGAGTCACTTCTTCCTTCAAAAGCCAGGTCACTGCCTTCCCTGCAGGCAGCGCTGGTGTCTCAGCAGCCCAGGCGGCGACTGGACCACCTGCCGAGGCCCTGGCTGTCTGCCTCCCTTCCCACCCGCCTCCCGGCACAGGAAGTGGCCCATTTGGGGAGGTGCCCGGGGCCTCATGGGCCTGGCACAAAGCTGGTGCTCAGGGGCAGGTCCCCGAGAAAAAGGGAAGGCTTCCCCGGCTCAGGGGACTTCCCGCCCGCTGGTGAGGGATGCGGGACAGCTGCACACATGGGCTCCTGCTCAGAGGAGGAAGTGGGCTCAATCTCTGCAGGACACTTCCCTCCCGGCCTGCAACAAGCAGCCTCTTCCGGCCTCGGGCCTTCTGGGTCCTGCCCAGGGCAGCAGGCGTGGCACCCCAGAGAGAGGTCTCTAGCAGATGTCCCATACTCCCTGAGGTCAGCTGGCTGAACCACATGCCCCAGGCCCCGTCCAGCACCCAATCCCAGAGTTTGCTGCCAGCACCCAGAGACGAGGTTCAATTTCAGTGGGTGGAGGTGCTCCGTGCTCCGTTACCACCCAGAAAATGAGAATAAAATGCCCGCGAGGGGTCTCGTGGTTGGAGCAGGTGGCCCTGTGGCTCAGTGTCCAGGGAGCTGGGCTGCTAGCGGGAGATGGAGCCCACAAGCCCTGACTGGCGGGGGCTCTGGCTGGAGCTCCCCCGGGCTCGGACTGGGCAGACCCCTAGGGACACCAGACCTCGGCTCTTTGCCAAGAAGCAAGCCGGAGGGTGGTCCAGTCCTGCTCCCTGGATGGTAAGGGAACGCTCATGTCCCCCAACCATGCCCCCCCAGGGACCACGGGCTGAGCCTCATGTGGAACTCACCTTCAGCTGAGCTGAGTCCTGCTGGACAAGGGTGGCCCTCACCCAGTGCCCGGTGTCCTCATGAGAAAGAGAGGCGGACCCATGGAGAGGCCCTGGGAATGCAGAACCAGAGCCGGGGTGACCTGACCACAGGCCCAGCAGCCCTGGGCTCCAGGGCAGGAAGAGCAGGACCCGCGTGGGGCCTCTGGGTGCAGCCTGGCCCTGCCCAGCCTGTCTGCAGCTCCAGCCTCCAGAACTCTGAGAACACAGTGTCACTGCGGGCCACCAAGGGTCACTGTCAGGGCAGCCGAGGACATGACCACTCGTCCCTTTCTGTGTGGCGGGGCTGCCGGTGCCCACGTCATGGAGTTTGTGGGGGGCGGTGACCTCTCACGTGACACGCTGCACAGGGCCCTACAACCCCATGCTCCCACGCCCTGGCTCCGCCTGCCGTTGTCGCATCCCAGACTGGGGTGGGGGGGGTCCTGGGTCCCTGGGGAGGTCACCCTAGGCCTGCAGAAGGTCTCCATGGGGCTTCTGAGGCCACATGTCCTGGGCAGGACGTGAGGCTGGAAGGCTGGGCCCAGGAATTTTTGGTTGGTGGCCCTGGTCCAGCCACTTTATCTTGTTATTTGATGTAAAAAAGACCCAGGGTGACTTCGGAGTGGCCTGGTCACACCCACAGTGGCACTGCAGGCTCTGCGGAGGTGCTGCATCAGCGGTCATGCCAATGTGGCCTGCGATAACCCAGGGCTGGCCACACTTGGGACACACTGGCCCAGAACCCCTTGTTCCTGGCTCGGTTCCCACGTCTCATCCAGACCCTGGGGGCACACCCCGAGGTCAGTGTGGCTATGAGGTCACTGTGAGGTGCTTGTAAATGAATTCTCATGTCAGATCACATGAGAATCCCTGAGAGGGTCTGGCAGCACCCTGGGGGGCCTGGTGACAGCCTCCCTTGGCCTACAGCAGTCCTGCCCCACCCCCACTGCTGACAGTCTGAAGAATGTTCCAGAAAGTGGAAGGTGGGAGGCTATTACTAGACACAAGGACGGCCACTGTGCGTCTGCCAACCCAGCCGCCTGGCGGTCCACCGCCCTCCCTCCTGCCCCAGAGCCCGCCGTACCTGAGCTCTGCTCCCGAGACACCTCTCAGGCCCACCAGGCCCAGGGCGCAGGTGGCCTGTCCCAACTCTGCTTGGTGCTGGCTGTCTACGGGGCTGTCTGCAGCTGGCCGGGGCAGGCAGAGGCCGCCCACAGAGGCTGACTGCAGAGSAGCCACCACCGCCCCTGCTTCCTGCCCCACTTCCTCCCGGAGCCCGGGGCAGCAATGAGAGGCCAGCACTGGCCGCGATTGATCATTAGCCCCTTCCTGGGTGGGTGCCAGGCCCTGTCCCCGCCCGCCCACTGCCAGCCCCCAGGCTCTGGGGTGGAGGCCAGGGGGCACCCAGGCTCCCGTTTGGCACTGGGATTGGGGAAGTCCACCAAATAGCGGCCCTCGGGCTCTGCTCTCTGTTCCCCTTCCAGTTCTGTGCACGTGGGCACACACGTGTGGGCCTAAGGACACACACATGTGGGCACACACGTGTGGGCATAAGGACATACACACACTTGTGGGCACACAGACAGTTCCTCACTCCTGCGCCCAGGTCATAGGAACATTCTGGGGGAGGAGGGGGACGTCCTGCTCCTCAGCTGGCCAGTGTGTCCCACCTGGGAGACTGGCCAGAACTGTCACCTCTTTACCTGCCTTCTGGCTGCAGCCCCACCTGGGGTTGGGACGGGAGATCTCCCAGCTGGCCAAGACTGCGGCCGTGACAGGGAACMCCTGGCCTGGCCCCCTGGGACTCAGAAAGAAGCAGGACTGAACATGGGCCAGCCTCCTGCCCCGGCCCTCTGTGCCTGCCCCTCAGGCTGGGGCTGGCCTGCTCCACGCCCTGGGAGCACCCCCCATCCTGTCTCCCTCTGTGAGGGGCTGACCGTGGGTGCACTTGCCACCYGCTCTCTGCCCAGACTCTGGAGGGTGAAGACCCCCGACATTCTGGCTTCCCTGGGCCTGTGTACCTGAGAGCTCTGCTGAAAGAGGTCCTGGATGGCCCCCTGTCCACACAAGGGTCAGGAGGCGTTTCCTCTCCCAGCCATTGTCCCAGGCGGAGCCCAAGACCCGGCATCCTGTTTGTCTACAGCTGAGCTCTTGGCCGCAGCCCAGGGATTTTCCAGGACCCCCCCCCCCACACACACACACACACTGTGTGCGGGACCCGCCTCCTCCCAGCTCCAGCCGCTGAGGAAGGAGCAGGTGTGTTCTGGGTCCAGGACTTTCCCACCAGGGCCCTCCTGGGGCTGCTGGATGGACGGCCCTGCCTGCCCGGCCTCCTGAAGCCCAGCCCAGCTGGTGTTCCTGGGGCCACCTGTCCCTTCCCAGAGCCTCGGTTTCCCCCTTGTGGAGACCACTAAGTGCCCTCCCAGCTCAGTGGTTCTGACCCTGGCGCAGGGGAAGAGAACAAGCTGACACTGGTCAGGAAGACGCCACAACCCTCCAGGTGACCCTCACCCTGTGGGTGGTCAAAACAGCCTGACCAAACGTTCCCGTGACTCCTGTTGGACTGACCAGCCGAAGCCCAGCCCATGTCCCCACCCTCCCTCCCAGCCAGAGGCTCTCGGGTGCTGAAGTCCAGCAGAGGAAAAACAGCAGGCCCTGCCCGGGAGCCTAGGAGGCCACCCTTGCCCAGAGTGCAGGGCTTTGCAGGTAACCAGATACCCAGGCCTTCAATCACCAAACCCCAAAGCCACAACCCCTCGTCCCTTTTCCCTCGTCAGAGAGGCCAGCCGGCGCTAGCAACTCTACGGGCCTGGCAGCCAGTGACCTGCAGGCAGGACCCAGAGGCTCTGGAGTCCCTGTCTCCTTGCTGCAGGAGGGAGGCCCCAGAAGCAGTGGAGCTGGGCAGAGTGACAGGCCCTGGAGGGACTTGCTCCTGTGAGGAGCAGCACCCTCTGGGGAGCATCATCTGCCTGCCGGAGGCCACAGGGTCCAGTACTCCAGGCCAGGGGGGGGCCTTGTCCAGCCAGTGCAGAAGCCACAGCTCCACCCGGGCGCCCTGGATGTCTCCTAAGGCTAAAATGCAAGGGCAGGACTCACCCAGGATGGGAGCACGGCTCACCTGGGAGGTGGCCTCCAAGTCCCACCAGGACACAGGAAAGGCCTCTGCCGGCAGGGCCTCCTGCAGGGGGCCCACGTGGCTTTGAGCTGCCCCGGCACACTCGGGGCCTCCTCCAGGGCACACTCCTGCCCGTCCCATCTCGCCCGGTCCTCCACCTGGAGCACGCTCGGAGGTTTCCTCAGAGACGGACTTGCCAGCCTGGGGAGCACCGGAGAGGGCCCACACCTGTCCCTAGTCCATCCTGCGGGGAAGCCCCAGCCACCACCAGGGCCCAGTTATGGCCTCCAAAGTCCCTAGCCAAGCCCTTAGCCGTGGCTTCCTGGGGACGCCTTTGGTGGACCCTCCTGCCCTCAGTCGGCCTGGGGTCTACCCTGCCCGTGGGCAGCAGGTTCCCTCCTGTGGAGGGCCCAGTGGCTGAGCACCCCCAGGACTCCCCAGACAGGGACCCCTTGCTGGACCCAAGGCAGGTGGGGTGCCAGTCCCCCTCCTGCTGCGGAGGGCTCTTGTGTTTATGTTTTGAGTCCAGTAGGGAAAACAGTGACCACTGTGGTCAGTCAAGACAATGGCTTTCCTAATTGTGTCATTTAGAGCAGCATCAGTTCTCGGGACAGCTGTGAAGGGTCGAGCTGGGGAGGGTCCAGACCCCCATGCATGCTGCCGTCCCCCCATGGCCTGCCTCTCCACCTCCAGGTACCTCAGCTCCCTGGGGTTTGGAGCGACACCTGCCTCGTGTGATGATGGCCCTACTATCCCAGCCCTGCCCCTGGTCCCTACCCACCAGGTCCATAGGCAGGTGGGAAGAGGGAAGCCAGGGAGAGAGGAAGAGAGGGCGAAATCCTGGAGGCTTCCTGGAAGTGGAGGCTCCTGGACAAACTCTTAGAAGGAGAAAGACAAAGAGGGCGGGCCCAGGGCACCCCAGGGGATAGGGATGCTCAGGAGAGCACATAGCCCAGCAGCAGCTCACGACAGCCAGACACACACAGGCCGGAGCCTCCATGGCCACTCTGCAACGGGATGCTGGCGGCTAAGGAGAGGCCTGGCACACTGGCCCTGAGGGCTGATCTGCAGCAGGCCATCAACAGTGACCCCAAGAGTGCAGGGCCCCGGGGAAATTCCAGCCCAGGCCTCACCAGGGCCTGTCCAGGCAAACGCTGTCTGCCGGAGCCTCTGGTTGTCCTTGAACAGGTGACCACCCCTATCCCCTACCCCTGTGGGGGTCAGAGAGAAGGTGCTGTCCTCTCTGGCTGTCGGGCCCTCACATCTCTGCCGAGCCAGCGTGGAGACGGACAGACGAGGGTCAACAGGTGGGCGAGGCAGCCGCCAGGACGACTCCACAGCTCCGGGGCTGGAAGGCCCGCGGTGTGGTCTGTGGACCCGGCTTTGGACATGGGAGTGGGCCGAGATGATGGGAGGCAGCACTGAACCTCGTCTGGTGACGGGCCAGTGACTGGCACAGCGAGGGCCCCTGAGACACTGGCCTTGGCCATGCAAGGAAGAGCCCAGCCTCCACCAACAAATGGGGACAGTTCAGCCACACGCACCGGGAGGAGAGCTCCTGGGGTCTATGTGGGCCTTACATTTTAAAGGTGACCTAAGTGACCAGCCCCTGCCCAGGTTCTGAACAGGGGGTTCCCCAGAATGGCAAAGAGGCCAGGCCCACCTTCCAAGGAACACGCGTTCCCAAGCCCTGGCAGACCTGAGGTCGGGGGAGAAACATGCCCAGAGACTGCCTCCCAGGCTCCCACCTGTACCCCCAGGGACAGTGCTGGGAGCCTCGGCACCAGAAGAGCAGGTGCCTGCTGCCGGGTCCACACAGGAAGGACTGGACAGCCCCTTCCGGCACAGGGGGTCTGTTTGTAATGTCTGTGGTTATCACTGAAACCAGCAAAAATGTGCACCGGCCCCGGAATTTCAGGAACTCCTCTGCAAAAACAAGGCTGCAGGAGTAAACAGGCTTCCCAGATGACCCATGGCCCCCGGGACCCGGATGAGTGGCTGGGCGCRGGCCCCCGGCTGACAGGAAGCAGACAGCACGTCCCAGGCCTGCGGCGAAGGGTGCCCTCCGCAGTCTGGCCGAACCTGGAGCAGCCACTGTAGTGACACCCCCTTTCTCCACAGAAAAGTCTTAACTGGGCTGATTTTAGGACTGTCAGCAAAGAGTCCAATGTAGATAAGCTTCCTATTGTCCTGTCCCCTGTTTACTTGGCCACTAGCAGGGAAGAAATCAGCACTCCAGGTGCTGGACACCCCCTCACTAGTTTTTCACAAATGTATCCAGTATAGTAGTTGGTAGAAATGTGCAAACAGGCCTCTGGCCTTGAGCTGGGCTTCACAGAGATGTCCACATTCCTAAGATAAGAGAAGTTACAACTGGGCTCCATGGTAACAGCTGGCCGGGGACGGGAGAAAGGGGAGAAGAAGCTCCCCCCTCCTCAGGTGCTGTCCTTGAAGGGTTAACACTGAAAGAAAAAGCTGCTTTTATGTGAACTTCTGCAGACTGTGAACTTCTGAKCCCCTCCCCTTACACGCTGGGTATAAAGTTCTGAAACTCCCTGAACTCGGGGTTCAGGGGATTAACTGAGTCCAGCCAAAGCTGTGCCCTCTGAGCCTGGCTGCAGCCAAATAAAACGGTTTCCTGCTATCTTTGGTGTCCTGCCTCGTCTGTCCCTACAACACCACAGGACAGTGGCCTGCCAGCTCTGTCAGGGCAGGTGTGTCCCCAGCCTGGGAGATGGAGGACTCTACAGCCCAGCCATTCCTGCATGACAGGGACCCTGGGCACAGTGCTCTTCCCTGGGGTGACAGGGCTGTTCCGTGGGCAGGGCATGTAGAAGAGGGACATGGCCTCCTCACACCCCAATAAAGAGGCTTGGCCACAGAGGAGGAGGAGCAGAAGGGCCTCCTTCCCGCCCAGGGAGCAGGCCAGGCTATGCCCTGGACAGCCCTGCGGGCCAGGTCCCTGAGGCCCAGCTCACAGCTCGCAGAGTACCCCACGGGCCACCCGACCTGTGGGTTGTGGGGTGCACAGAAGAGGCGGGAGTAGGAGGCTCCCAACGGGGCCACGTTGGGGGCTTCAT